GGTGCCCGCCACATGGAACCGGATGCGTTATAGCGAAGGAGAAGGCCTCAAAGAGAAGCGGCCGACAAAGGCTGTCCTCTGCCGAAATGGCCACACGATGCCCGAGGGAGGGGGGTGGGCTAGCGAGGCCCCTCCGACATTGGACTACTTTTCCTTTCTTTGGATCTTTAGAAGCGCCCGCGACAGCGACACTGGCCGCCGCCGCTGGAAAGGCGCTGTTTGTTCTCGTTTTGTCTTTTCTTTGTGTCCTTGTGAGTTCAGCATACCTGTCTACGACTCGAATCGCAAACAAGAGAAGGAGGGGAGGATTGGACCTACGTCCAACGCAGCGGAAGAAAGGGAAATAGGCACGTGATGAAGGTGAGGGGAGGGGGAGGTATGGGCGCACGCACAAAGGGGGCGACGGACGACTCTTTTCACTTTCTTTTCGGTCTGCGACCGGACCGCCACTCGGGAATTCGCCGGGAGGATGGAGGAGGAGATACAAATAAGGAACCACACGTGACAAAGATGTCAGGTAGCGAAGAGACTGGAGCGGGGTGGGGTAGTGTGGAGGGGTGAGGTAGTCTGGATAATCCTTTGAGCCAAATCTGGGGTCACGCGCGTACGGTGCCGCTCCATTGGCGGTGGAAAATGTGACAGATGAGCATATAAGTCGAAAAAGATTCTGTAAGTGATAACGGACCATTTGGTGCGAAGGCTCGAAGCTAATAAGTACCACTAATCTAGCATAAGACGTAGTTTACAGACACTAATGCGCTGTCTTTTATCATGAAATAATTAACGAATGCTGCTTCTGGTCATAAAAAGCAAGGAACGTTCACTGAAGTCTAAAGAACCGTGAGACAGATCTTCGCTTGGATATCACCGAAAATGGACACCTGGATTGGACATCAAAGTGCGTATTAATATGTGGGCCTCTATTATTTTAATGCCACAGGCATATGTTGCTTTTCTGTGCTGCTTGAACGCAAAAACAACGTAATTTGTGATTGACCATAAAGCCGAACATAAGAATTCAGAGACGTAAAAGACAAGGTGTTCTATCGAATAGGTTCATGCAGTTATTAAGTATAGTCCTGTCAAACTGTATTAGGGAGGAGGCCGGCGTGTCACCACAATAATAATAAAGAAAAGCTGTTGTAATTTTAAGGTAATTTGCAAGGCAAATGGCTATTACTACTTGTTTCATTCGTACGATTGAAAAGTGTCAAGCCTCAGACGCATCTTATGCCCTATCACGAAGGTCCATAGAGTAAAATTCAAAAGTAAAAAAAAACACACACACACACAGACACTTTGTTTTTTTATTAATGAAAAACACACATTTCTTTTCAGTTTTCGTTATGCAACACGACTGCGTGCTCGAAGTAGTGTCACCAGCTCGCACCGGTTAACATTTTGGAGTTTTCATATATTGTTCGCTTCTACTACTACTATTACTACTCGTACATAAATTTTGGAACACTCGCACCTTTTAATCTTGGTTGGAAACTAGCGCGTCGCCCTGAGGCCCGACGAGCCAACAAAAGTGGACTCGAAAGACATAACACCCACGACGACGTCAGTTGTTGATTAGCATAACGGTTGGCGAAAATACGGAACAAAAATAATCCCAGGACATTTTGTGTTGTTGTTTTGTGTGTGTGTGAACAGGGCGCCGCTTGGCCGATGCGGCCCTTCAGAAGAGTGCGTGGCAGGCTCGCTGCACCGCTCGTCCCCAAACAAGACTGGTTGAGGGCATGCAGTCGGTCCTCGCGCCGCTGCTCCAAATAAAACCCGAAGCAACACAACAAGAAGCACCGGCGGCAGTAGAGGGAGGAGGGCAGCCCGAATTCGCAGTTGAAAGAAGTTCAATTTTAGCGACGACGTCGTCGTCGGGAGCAACGCTTCCGGGGTGCGGGGACGCGGCCCGAACTCGAGGTCTGTATGGCACCGCGCCGTGTGGCCCTGTTCATCTTCGGGCCACCGAACGGCGAGAGCCCCCCATAAGTTCCCGAGGCCGCGACAATTCGGGAAGTCGAGCAGTCGAAGATTGCTCGTGCACGGCACTGCCGTCTTCACTTCCGAAGGCGCGCCCCAGGGGGAGAAGGAAAGTTGCTATGTTCTGTGTACGCATGTGTATGGCATCTTCTATGTCTATGTGTGTCGTCTTTCTCATGTTTGGTAGTTTAGTTTTTTTCGTGACAGTCAGAAACAGATAGATGAAACTGAACGGCGTGAGACAATAAATGGAGGGAGAGGGGGTGTCGAAGCTGGACAAATAGGAAGAAATGAGGTGAAACAACAATTACGTTATGTTGAGGAGGTTGGAGACGTTTCAGGCGGGCGTGGAACGGGTGGGGGCGGGGGGGGGGGAGGAGGGGGGGGGGGGACTTGTCGGTAGTTCGGTAGGAATAGTCATACCGCGAAAAGAGCGCCCCTTAAAATTAAGATAACGTAACGAACAGTGGTTATCTATCGAAGAAGAGTTAGTTTACTGGAGCAAATGTTATGCGTGTCGATTTAAATTCATGGTCACAAGGTCGCATGTACCTTCAGTGCCAAAAAGAGGGAACAAGGGCAGGTATGTTATATTATGCAGCATGTAACTGTCCTATTATTTTGCATAAGAAAAACACTCTATTCCGTGTAATTAAAGTGGACTTCGCGGCAAGACAAATACGAGATCTCCCCAGCGAAAGATGGTTTTTCAATTAGATTTCTGGTTGAAAGCACGCTCGACGCCTGCAAACTTTCCACTTCTATCTGTGTCGGAGCGCCAAACCAGGTGCAATAGGCTTTGTGGCGCCCTTCGCGAGACCAGACGACAAGTCTGACACGACGGGGACTCCGACGAAAGAACGGTTGGGAAAAAAGTGGGTTAAGCAGTTGCCGGACTTGGAACTGAGCCACAATTTTGTGACCGCACCCTCAGCGAAGTCCCTTGAGACGGGCTGGCTCCTCCGAACCAATTTTTAGATCCGTAGTAAGGCCGGGGTTGATCATTTCCACCTTTGAGTTAGATCTAACGGTTGATGAAGTGCGAGGGCTTTGTCAATTTAGGGAGGGCGAGGGAAAGATATATTATGAAGATTGCTTTTTGCTTAAACAACTCTGGGTTATTAATAGGGATAAAAACGAAAAGGAAATTGGGGGTTAATCAAAGAAAATTGTGAAACCTGGACGATGGCAATGGGTGTGGCAAAGGTTGCACCACAGTAAGCAGGCCAGAAAAAGTGAACATACATGTTCACAATTGGGCGTTTTTAAGAACGATAGCAAATTAGAAAAGTTGTTTGTGCGCAAATGATGCATAAACCTGCATCTACATGAGGTAAGCAGCGGGTGAAGACGCGACAATAAAACACATTTAGGAGGATACTAGACTACGTAGTGTCTGAGAGCAGCACTCCAAATGTTTATTGAACTAAATATTTTTTCTCGGATGTACGTTTGTTGCGTCTAGGGTTTTCCACGGCGTAATTCAGTTCACGAAAACTAGACAAAGTGTTGACTTTAGAGGAGAACTTGCGATGAAATTGGAGCTTCCGATAAAATCGCCACTTTTGTAAGGTTGTTTTTGTTCAGCAGGACAAACTATAAGAAGTGCCGTGCATTTTTCTAAGCGGGAACTATGTACTACAATGTTTTGTATCTTGTTTTTGTGTTTGCTCTCCCATTGAAACAACGCAAATTAAATAATTTATCGATCTTTCGGTATTTGTCTTGATGTTATTGCAATATTATAACATGATTATAAACAGTACTTGTAATATGGCTAACATGAAGCCCGTTAAGTATTCAAGTTTAGCAGTCGTCCGACTGTTGCCAGATGCAGATTGACGTGCCACGAAGAAACGTAAAGAGCAATTTCGGATCAGTGTAAATTCAAACACTAAAACAGTTAAAACAACCATAGACAAAAGCCTATTATTTTCTTTTGTGTTTTCGCTTATATAAGGCTTAGTTGTTTTCTTAGGATGTATGATGCTTAGTAGTTGTTTTTCTCCTGGCCGTTTACTGATCAAGTGAACTCCCAAAGAAGCAAGTGGAAAACGAACCTCTAGAAAGGGGAGAAAAAAAATAAAAGTCTGAGGTGTCGATCATTTCATAATAATGAAAATGTATCTGGGGTGAAAACATAAATACAAACGATTAACTTTGTTGAACATCCTAAGTTGCCAGTACCAGTTCTTAGCGGGCACAAATATCTCGTGAATTGTAAAGACAGGATTTTAAGACTGATGAGTTCACAACACAATTACGAGATTAGGTGAGAGAAAATGCCCAAAAATGTCGAAGATAAGGCAACTTTAAAAAAGCGGGCACGTAGTTGGATATTTCCTGCAGCTGGAAGATTTCTCTCTCACGCGGAAGAGAAGCTTCGCAAATATTTACGTCTTGATTGACGCTCTAAACAAGTAAATAGACTGGCCCTACACTCAACAGTAAAAAAGATATCTTCCTCTGTTGTTAAAAAGAAAACAATATCAGAGAAAACAAAGTTTTTAAACAGTGGGAGCTGCCAGACAGGGGCGTTTTGTGATACATTCTTGTCGCCTCGTCTTCTACAGGTCATTTGTAAACTTAGTGGACGCACCGACCGAGCGCATTCCGGCATCTCGAACAAGCTTAAACTATCTCGAACTTGGGAGAGAAAAAAAAAGTAGAAGGCAAAAGTAAAATCGAGAAGGAACTCAAGCACGAAGTCAAAAGCGAAGCCGAAGGCAATGTTAGAAGACGGGAAAGGAGGAAAGCGCGGCCACTTCCCTCTCCCTCTGATGAGGAGGGATGCCCTCCTGGCGAGACTGCTCGATGATCGCTACCGGAAGTAGTCTACGAGCGCAGCTACGGGCGGTCAGCACGTGCGTTGTTGTGAAGCCAGCCTGTTTTACCGCTCACTTCAAGATCCCCGATGAAGGCAAACTGAATTTCTCGTCATTACGAGCAGATTATAATTCATTTGAAGACATAAGATGACTTCAGAACGAAAGGACATTGAAGAGGTGTGCACCTACCGGGTAATTTGCAGCGAGAACACTGTAGAGCGTGAGTAGAAAGGATGCTAGGAGCAACCATCTGTCGTGAAGGAAGACAAAAAAACAAAACTTGAGAATTGGCGAACGATTAGAAGGTTGCAGTTCGATTCGCATAAAGAATACTTTGAGAGATGCCCCCGGACCTTTTTGTTAAGTGGTAACTAACTGGTCTAGCATTTGAGGGATAGTGGCAGTAGTGCCACTATAAACCTTTCCCGAAACCAGAACTTTCAATATGCATATTGAGTTAATGAGAACAGCGTCGTGTATCGAGGAATAAGGTATGATATGTCTAAGGCGTCGGATAATTTTCATAGGCTATATTGACTTCAACATAAATTTTGCCAGCATGCTAAAAAGAAGCTAAAATAAAACGCTAAAAAAATGGAAACAAAGTAAAGAGGACTCACCCTTTAGCCAGACCCGGGGAGACCATCTTCTCTCCCCGATGTCCGAAGCCAAGTCGCGTGTCACCTCCCCGAAGCACCCGACGATCCTCTCACCACAATCGGAGCAGCACCATCCTCGGACACAGGACGACAGTCTCTCTTTCTATTTTTTGTGTTATCGACTGTTTTGTGCCGTTTTTTATATACGTTTCTGCGACCCCCTTTTTGCGTCGTCACGATCACCGGACGAACCAACGGACTGCGACTTGTTCTTCTCCTGGTGTCGCGCAGAGGACTCTTCGAAGTCTTGCAACAAGAAGCGTTCCCTTATAACCCTATGGTCCCGGCTTGGGACTCTCCAATGAAGCGGACACTAGGACTTTTTCTTTCTTTTTCTAGCAGAAAACCGAGTGTTTGGCGTGCGCGTGGGCTAGCGTGGGAACGGACCTTTGCGCCGCGCCTTGCCCCTTCGCTCGCGGACGGCGAGGTCTCACTGCTAGTTTCGGCAGTTCCGAGCGAGGAGCTCGCCTTTCTCCCGCGGAGGAGGAGCACTTTTCTTTCGGGGCGGGTGGGGTACCCACGTGACCCACCTCCTCTCCCTCTACGAAAAAAGTAGTCCGGCTTTTGAGCCTCCTCTCTCTTTGTCATCCCCCTCCGCTTCTCTGTTTCTTGGCTATCCGCTGGGCAGCGTAGCGGAGCTGAATGCTGTAGGGTGCCCTTTCCGAATTGTAGCTGCAGCCTTTGGATTTGAAATATCTTCCAAACGTTCCCAACATGTGCTGAAAAAAAACAAAAATGCTTCTGCGCAAGACGATGCTCACGACGCCTTGTAAAATAAATAGATACTATTTGGAGCCGTTGAAGTTTAAGAAGGTATTAAAAATGTTTCCGCTGTGTATTCTGCTGCTTCGCGAGGAAGGCTGCGCCCCAACACACCGAAAGAACGGTGTCTGAAACTGGTGTGTTTAAAAATAATAAATAAATAACAAGTTGTCGTACATCGTTAGCTGCCGAACTTCCAGACTAAACATTTGGGCGGAATGCTGTAGCTGGAACCCATCTTTTGCTGGATGAAAAGAACTGCATTTTTTCGATCCACTTCCTGGTGCAGTCGCCGTCTCTTAATGACGCTGTTAGCTCTTTTGTAAATGAAGGTTTCCTCGATTTATTTGAGTGTTCGCATAATTTGTATAAGTCATATTACTTAAATAACACCTCATTGAAGCTCCACATGTCCAGAAGTACCTTTTTATTTCGATCATAACATTGAGTTGGTTCTGATGCCTGGTTTGTCAGATTACTGGTATTTTTATAAGTGATTTGATCTATTGTTATTGTGGCCACTATGAAAGTTTAATTTTGTGTAATTGAACTCTACGTTGACGTTTTCCTAAGCACTCTGCATATTGCTGTTTTTGCTTTGTGTTGTAATTGCTGTGCTGTGGCTGTTATTGATTTTTATGTCTGATTGAAGAATGTATATTTCGTAATATGTTGGTATTTTCTATGGCTTTGTTACCATAACTTTTCTAATGGCCCTATTCTGGGTGAACAATATTCATAAAAAATATTGTGTCATTTGCACTGGACTAATTCTGAAGCAGATCCCGATGAAACGTAAACTCCTGACGATTTTATGTGTCGTTTGAAATGAAGACTTGGCGATAAGGTTTTGGGATAAAAAAAGATATTGACGTTCATATAAAACAAATATTTGCCACCAAGATTTGAATTAGGCACAGTAAATGCGTGTCTATTGACGAGGCTAAACATCTCGAATATCAACATATACTGGGAGATATTTTTTATTCGAAACAGAGTTTAAAAACAAATTTTGTGTTTACGGCTACGGCAATGCCGTCTTCACTACACGTTTCTTGAGCTCGGCGGACATTCGAAAGGCAAAACAACTTTCACAGACAGGTTAGCAATTAACTCAACTTCGTTAATTAATTTTTTAATTATTAAAGATAAACATATGATTATAATTATAAATTTGCTGAGCGTCATTTCAAACAACTATATCAGTAATTTTTAGAAAGACTTTGCGTGCGTGAAAAGCGCAGTAGTGCGCTAAAGGTACCACTCGTGCAAAAAGAGCAACGCTACCAGTGGGGATTTTTCCGTCAGGTGCAGGCAGCCTTGTACCTGTTGTAGGAGTGGTACAGTTAGTGCACTACTACGCTTCCCACGAGCTCAATGGATTTCTAAAATGTATTGGTGTTGATGTAATGGATGACGCTCAGCAAGGTTCTAGTTGGAACCATATGTCTATTTACACAAATTAAAAAAGTTATTTAACAAATTTTGCTTAATTACTCACCCGACTGTGACGGGTGCTCACCCCTCGAATGCGCGCCGAGCTCAAGAAACATTTAGTGAAGACGGCATTCACGTAGCAGTAAAGACGCTTTTTTTTTTACATATATCACCCAGAATGGTAAAGTGAAAAAACAAAATCTTGTTAATACATGCAATTTTTTTTAGATTACGGTTCAAGTAGATGACCCTTCTGGAAGGACACCAGGGTGAAGCAGGTTTTTAGCTGCATTCACAGCTCATGAATCCCAGCTTGTACCACTATCAGGAGCTATAAGCACACTTAGTAGGCAGTAATTCCCTGCCTGATCATCGATATTGAATGGCGTCGAAAATGAAATAATATAAGGGTCACTCCAAATGGCAAGCGTAACTGTGTTGCTTATAAAAACATACACTTTGCATTTGCAAGGGTTGAGACGGTACGAGAATGCGTTGATATCGAAATCAAAATTGTATCCGTGTTAAGATTATTATGTTACAGCATAATAAACTTCAATTCAACGTAATTGACTCTTGAGTGTGAATCTCCACCTTTATTCGAGAAATGCGGGGTGTTCTTTATTTTATTTCATTTAATTGACTCCCTCGGGTGTATAACACGAGAGAAACATAGGTTGGTTTCTTCCCATCCAACTCATCAGAGTAAACGAGATATTAAATTTACGGTTTGTCTAAAACGCTTTCCATATATATTTGAGCTCTCTCGTTCAGTGCAACGTACCTTCCTGTGTATCAGATTTGGCATGTGACAACGAAGACGTAAGAGAATCCAGGAGGTAGTTTTTTCTCTGTAATAGTCTTCCGAATATTACACCATGACTTTTCGGATCTTAACTGAATTTTTTGTTTTGCTTTGTTTTTTTTTGCGATGGCAGCGTAAAAGTGTTGCCACTTCATTGCTTAACTGAAAAAAAAATTATCATGTTGTGTCAGCTTTGCCCTTGTATACTTTCTGAGTTCAACATCTGAGAAATTTTATTCAGAACCGAAGACACAATAAAAAGAGGAAAAGTGTGATGAAAAAATATAGTTATCGTGTTTGAAATCGATATATCTAATAAAATACACACACACACACACACACACACACACACACACACACGCACGCACGCACACACACACACACACACACACACACACACACACACACTTAGATAAGAACATGGCATAAACCCCGAGACTGCAGGCAAAAAACGACACCAACACTGAAAGGTCTCGAACACGGCTGTTTTCGAGACCTTTTAGCGTTCGCGTCGTTCTTTTTTTTTTTTTCTTTTTTTTTTTGCCTGCAGTTTCGAGGTTTATGTCATGTTCAATCTAAACAAGCTCGTTTGCGCACTTACATTCACTTCATGAAACAGAAATATTTCGAATACCTCGTAAAGTTTTTTTTTTAATATATGGACGAGTGTTGACAGAATACGAATAGCCTAGAGTAACTGATCATTAACTATTGCCGCAAAGAGTGTAGGAAATATGATAGAACTAAAAACCTGACCCCACTCATATCAAAATTCTTAATAGTATAAATGCAAATCCTATAGTACACAAGGTATTAACGTGTATAGTCGATTCTATTGCACATTTGTAATGTTTACGTTTGTGTATTCATGCCCACCAACAGCAACATGCCTTCCCGGTGATGCATCACAACACAGACGAAAAAGAAACATACACAGAAACACATCAAGCACTATAACAATAGGCACACAAAATGCCGTAGTAAAAAAATACAAAAATATACAAACAAAATTGCATATGCTATGAAAGTTCTGGCATTACTAAGTTTTTGAAATAGCTTAAAGGCATGAAGATGTCAATTGAAGGTGAAGAAATACCATTAAAAGAACTTTCATTCGGGTGACAGGCAAAAGCTGGGAGCGTCCCGACAGAAAACAATTACATCTAATGGTTCGTGGCAATTATCGGGGGCATTGAGTTTAACCACCAACTAAAGAGCCAAAAACACTTTCGCTGTATATTTAACACACCTGAAATACCCTTTTATTTATTAAAATAATATAGATAAGAACAGGTGAAGCACGCAATGACAATATCTGTAGTTCTATTTGTTTAAAGGTGCAATGCATTCTCTTCGCGTAATGTTTTAAATATTTCTCTAGATAAATTAATGTAAAATATGACACCAACAAAAAAGAGGATGCGCGAATAAAAATTTTCAATTAAATAAACAAACAATAATGCCGATATATTACCTTGCAAACATTTTCTACAATGTTCCTTCTGGTTGATTGCGCTGAAGTATTGCGCTCTCGGTTGTCGGTTTTATTACTTGTCTTCATATAATATTCTTGAGAAATAATGCTCTGGATTGCAGAAAGCCCTCACTTCAAGGTATTCTGATAAAGAACTTTCTGTTATATTCTTGGCAAGTACTCATACACTGTAGACCTCTGGAACATTTAATGATTTAATAACGTGCTGCATGATTCCTGCCCAAAAAGCGTGATTCCAGCACGTCACTTAGCGAATTTGCATTGTACAAGGTGTCTTTTAGTAGTTTCAAAGTAAAAACATAAGAAAAATAGCTTTAGGCTTCCTTTAGCCCTGGGGCGAGGCACTCCCTTGATCGAATGACGTCTTAGCGAACGCCCACGTTTCACCGAATGACACTTTAGCGAATAGTCGGACGCCGCGAAGCGTCGTTTTCGGGTTGGCCAAGTGGGTTCATATTTTTTGTAATGAGCCGCCGCAGACTGTCGCCGCGAAGCGTCGTGGGCGCAGCGCGGCGGATGGATTAACGCGCGCCCCCGTTATTCGCTAAAAATTCGATTCTCTCAAATGTCGCTGTTCGCTAAAACGTCATTCGCTCATGTGATATAAACCCCGGCGGTCAATAGAAAAAAATGCCAACTGAATCGATCGGTTACGCAGTTAGCTAAAACGCTTTTATTAACTATTTCTAACTTTATTTTCGGGGCATGCAGTATTTTCAGAATTGACGCTCGAGCTTATTACGGTATAAAGCTGTGCAGTGAAATTTGGAAGGAACTTGTAGTGGACGCCACGGGGCGAGAAATGCCACCGTTGTAGACGACTTCAAACTGAAACTATGCGGGTTCAGGGCTGCGCCATCACATCCGGCTTCGCATACGGAGCCGGAGGATGGCAGGGGAATCGACATTATTGGCGTCCTCTGGCCCCGAAAGTTTCGGTTTCAAGCCGTGCACAGGAGTGAACACTTCTTTCCACGCAGCGGCCACAACGAAGTTTTTAATACAAATTTTACGGCACGCCTGTGCCGGTCGGGCGTCGATTCCCCAAATACACTAGGCC